GAATTCTTCTCACCATGCGAATCATACGCTCCCAAACACCACCATAGTGCGACGCTGAAGGAGGATTGAAACTCCATTTGATGCCCTTTTGTTGTAGCATTCCTCCAATATTTGTCTGGTTCAAGGTTAGGAGTGCCTCTCTGAGTTCCTTCTCTGCTCCTTTAAAATTGGTACCATTGTCAGACAGTAAATTAACAACTTGACCTCTTCTACAGACAAACCGACGTATTGCATTAATGTATGCGTCTGTATTCAACGAGTTGGCTATTTCAAGGTGGACTGCTCTACTAGACAGGCAAGTGAATATCACGCCATATCGCTTGGCAGTGCCTCGTCCTTTTTTCACCTCTATAGGACCAAAGTAGTCAACCCCAGTGTTGGTGAATGGTGGTTTGTCCGGAAGAATCCTCTCCATGGGCAAGTCTGCCATCTTCTGTAGCATCATTCGACCATTTTGTCTTCTGCAGAGACAACAGTCAGACATTATCTTTCTTACTGCCGAATTAGCACCTGTGATCCAATATTTCCTTCGTAATGTGGACAGTATGTGGTTTCGACCACAATGTCCGAGCCGTTCATGAATATTTCGCAGGAGGAGAGTAGCTATATGTTGGTCTTTGGACAAAATCAGTGGATGCTTAGCTTCCTCTGGTAGTGAACCTCTGGCTAGTCGCCCACCGACTCTTAGAAGTCCGTTATCCAGACGTGGATCCAGTTTGTACAGAGGGCTTTGCTTACTCACAGTTCCTTTTCCAGCTGACAAGGTAGCGATTTCCTCACTAAATCGTTGCTGTTGACAAAAGCGTATAATGGCAAGCTCTGCCTCACTTATGTCTTCAATGGACAAAGTGCACCTTTCAGGCACTGGAACACTCTGAATACCCACATAAGAAGTCTTAGTCTCCTTCTTCTTGTGAGACCGTTCCTGAAGCATTCGCTTATACTTAAGAAACCAAGCTACGGCTACCCTCAATCTCTTCCAATCTGAGAAATGCGCAATTAAACGAGTGGTGCTATCTGAGGAGTCAGTTACACTTACTGCGTTAACTAAAACTTCTCTTTTTATTTCCGGATCATCAATTTTGATCACCATGTCAGCTCTATCAGCTGGCCAATCCTCTTCTGACTTATACAAGAAACTTGGACCTACTATCCACCTATTGTGTTCAATGAAGTCACCAACCCTCAGACCTCTAGATGCATCATCTGCTGGGTTTTCCTTGGAACGAATGTACCGCCACTGTAAAGTTGTTGTTGCTTCTCTTATAATGGTGACCCTATTAGCCACGAACGTATGAAAACGTCTGTCTTCATTATTTATGTACTTAAGCACTGATGTGCTGTCTGTCCAGAATATTGATTCTGCCAGTGGGATTTGCAGCTCTTTTTTCAGCATCAGATCCATACGAACGGCAAGAACTGCAGCTGTTAACTCTAGACGGGGAATGGTAACAGTCTTTAAAGGTGTAACTCTGGCTTTGCCCATCACAAATGCAACGTGGATGACATTTTTGCTATTTTGCATCCTGAGATAAGTAACTGCCCCATATCCTAGTTCGCTAGCATCTGAGAAATGATGAAGCTCAGCATGTATGGCAGTTCCAAAGTCTTTGGGCTTGATGCATCTATTAATCTCAAAGTTAGACAGCATTTCCAACTCCTCTATCCATCTTGTCCAGCGGTGTAGTAGCTCTTGAGGTACCGTTTCATCCCATCCATAGTTTCTTCTGCACAATTCTTGCAGCATTATCTTTGCAGGTAGTAGAATTGGTGCCAGGAAACCAAGTGGGTCATACACTGAACTGGAGACAGATAGCATTCCACGTCTAGTACAGGACCGTTGACAAGGTGCCATTTTGAATGTAAATGTGTCCTTCTGAACACACCACTGTAATCCAAGGGCTCTTTCCATGGGAAGTTCATCTCGGTCCATGTCAAGTTCTTCCACACCCTTAGCTCTATATTCCTGTGGCATGGCTTGCAGTACATAGCAACTGTTGCTTACCCACTTTGTCAAGGTAAATCCTCCCTTTTGGCAGAGCGTGGTCAGGTGTTTGATCATTGTTACAGCTTTCTTCTCAGATTCTACACTCTTCAAGCAGTCGTCGACATAGAAGTTTTCTTTGACAGTTTGTGGAATTTCTGCTGGAAATTCAGCCTGATTATCATCAGCTGTTTTCCTCAGAGCAAAGATGGCACAGCTTGGAGATGATACCGCACCAAATAAATGGACAGTCATGCGGAATTCTGACGCATCTTTCGTGAGATCTCCCTCAGGCCACCACAAGAACCGCAGAAGGTCTCTATCCTCCTCTGGAACCTTAACTTGATAGTACATTGCTTGCACATCCCCCATGAATGCCACAGGTTCTTGCCGAAACCTCAGGAGGACTCCAATCAGTGTGCTATTAAAGTTGGGACCTTGCAGGAGCTGTTCATTCAATGATGATCCTTTAAATGATGCAGAACAGTCAAATACCACACGCAGACTTTTCTTCCTGGGATGATATATTCCGTGGTGAGGAATGTACCACACTTTACCACTGCTGCCACTTAACTGCTGGGTAGGTACTTTCTCTGCATAACCATTGAGTAACATGTCGTTGACTTTATTGCGGTACTCTTTGAAGAAATGTTCATTCTGCAGAAACTTTCGTTTTAGACTTGTTAACCTTTGTTTTGCCACAGCAAAGTTATTGGGCAGATGCACGTCTTTCTTAAGAGGCAGTTTAATTTGATAATGGTTGTCTTTAAGTGTTACAGATCTTTCCACAATATCCATGAACTTCTTGTCTTCCCTTGATAGCCCTTTCTCTTCTGTGACTCTTTCGTTAAAGTCATGATTATACTGGTTATTCAGCATTTCCTCCAATTTACATACTGAAATCCTGTTAACTACAGCTGACCTACATTCAGCATTAAGACAGGAGTCTTCTCCATGCACAAGACCATTAATGACCCATCCCAGCACGGTCCTTATAGCATATGGGCCATTCCCACGGCTATTAATAACCTCCCAAGGTTCCAACAACCTTGGTGCGTTGCTTCCAATCAACAGGTCTACGTTAGCTTCTATCTTGGGAGGTGTTAACCCTACCAGGTATGGCCATTTTACCAGAGTTTCAGCAGTAACAATGTTATCAGTGTTTACGGGCATTTTCTTTTGTGTTAGGGTTTGAGGGAGTTCATGGAAGACATTACCATTAATACCAGACACTTCCAGTCCTGTGAGTGAATATGCTGGCACCACCCTTTCTTGCCCCATAGTGCATAAGAGGAACTGGGTTCGTTTCCCAGTAAGATGGAGCTTTTGCATAAGCTGTTCTGAGCAGAAGTTGGCGGAGCTGCCAGGATCCAAGAATGCATCTGTCAGTATTACCTGATCAGATTTGATGGACTTGACTTGGACTGGCACAATGGATAACAGACACTGATCTGCTCCGGCCCCTGTATGTCCACAAGTCTCAGCAGTTGAAGCGAATGAGTGTGATGTAATATCTTTGTCAACTTGAGTAGAAGTACTTACTGTGACCTTAGCAACATGCGCTTTATGCATGCTAGCTGTGTCGCTCTTGTTAATATGAAGTACAGTAGGATGGCTTTGGCTGCATATTTTACAAGTTAGGCGTTTCTTACAGTCACGACTCATGTGTGAAGTACTCAAACAACCAAAGCAGAGGTGTTTCTCCTTCAGAAAATTAATCTTGTCTCTGTGTTTTTTTGCATTTGAACTGTTGACAATGTTCTAATAGATGACTCTGAGAACAGTATGCACAGAATAAAGCAGATGCAGAGTTATGTCTAGGTGAGATGGTCCTTGATCCTGTGGTACACTTAACTTTCACAGGTGTAATGGTAGTAGCAAAGCTTTTTCCTTTAGTTCTTTGTTCTGGAGATACTCGTGGCCTATTGACAGCTCTTTGACCAGTTGTTGCAGATGGTGAGTCGCTAATATTGCCATACAATGGATCAGACAGAGTTTGAACATGTCTTTCTATAACTCTCACCAGGTCATTGACCAAGGCTCTGTTTCCTGTTGTTTCCTGTAGGTCATGTGCAGCAGTCCTCCATTGCTCTCGAAGTTTAAATGGCAGCTTTAAGACAATTGCCCTTATGTTACTTGGCATATCCAGCTCATGCATATACTGAAGTTCCTCCATAACATTGCAGCAGCCTCGCAGAAAGAGAGAGTAAGCCTGTAGAGCATTAACATCTTCATTCTTTATTGGAGCCCAGGATAAAGCCTTTTCAATGTACGCCACAGCAATCTTGTACTTACAGCCAAAGTGTTCCTGTACCAGCTGCTTTGCTTTATCATAACCTAGCTCAGGCGTCATATACAAACACCTGTTACCTGAATGTTCGTTCCCACTTATAAAGCCTGTTTTAAGAGCACCACCTAGTGGAACAATGAGCAAAGTTGCCAAATGGCTCCTACATCTATATATATATATAATTCTTAAGGCTATATATAAATCTTTAGGCTAGTATTTTTTTTTTTAGTTTATCACATTTCTCCAATTAAGAATTAACATGGTGTACAGTCATGCCTGATAATGAAGGAAAAATAACACTGCTGTCAATCAATAAATCAATCAGTTAATAAATAAACAAATGAGTTCAGTTCATATCATGTGTCTATCAATCAATGTTTTAAAAGAATGAAGATATAATCTGATACCATTTTGTGGAAATGATTAAATAATGATTAAAATGTCACGGGGGTGTAATTCAGTAAACAGTTCTTAAATAATTGCTAAAATAGATCTGTCTGTGTGGGAGGAGCTACCGCAGGGGTTTATTCAAACTCACAGCAGATTTTCACTAAATCTCTTCATGACAGACCAGCAGATTATTCAAAAGTTCAAACAGCTCATTATTTGTAGCATTTCTGTAGTGAAACTGTTCAGAAAACAGCTCAAAAATGTTTATTACAATTACTTTAATCTGTTTCTGCTCATGGAGTCTGGCTGGTGAGTATTATTATTATCATTGTCATCATCATCATTTGTTCAACTGCTCTTCCTTCTGTATTATTTTCATCACAAATTTTGCCATTTCCATTGTGAAACTGTTAATGCTTAGAAACTGTTAATGCTCATGGAGTTTGTCTGGACAGTATTACCACAGACATATTAAATTTTAGATAGACTCCCATTGTCAGTGTCTTCATCACTTCATTACTATGCATTACTTTTCTTTCCCTACCGACCTGTAAGAGTATTTGGTATTTCCTAACAAAATAAGTTCCAAACTATCCCTTTTTGGCGACGCAGTGGCGCAGTAGGTGCTGTCGCCTCACAGCAAGAAGGTTGCTGGTTCGAGCTCAGCTCAGATGGCACTTCTGTGTGGAGTTTGCATGTTCTCCCTGCGTTCATGTGGGTTTCCGCCGGGTGCTCCGGTTTCCCCCACAATCCAAAGACATGTGGTACAGGTGAATTGAGTAGGCTAAATTGTTCTTAGTGTATGAATGTGTGTATGAATGTGTGTGTGGATGTTTCCCAAATATGGGTTGCAGCTGGAAGGGCATCCGCTGCGTAAAAATGTGCTGGATAAGTTGGCGGTTCATTCCGCTGTGGCGACCCTGGATTAATTAAGGGACTAAGCCGACAAGAAAATGAATAAATGACTATCCCTTTTTCAAAAAAAAAAAAAAAAAAAAAAAAAAAATATATATATATATATATATATATATATATATATATATATATATATATATATATATATATATATATACACTACAGCAGGAATACCGAGTAGGCTTTCAGCTGAAATTCTGATCAGTTTATGATAAGATTTTCTATATTTCACAATAAATGACAAACAATGAATGGAAATTGTAATTAGTCTGTTTTGAAAATGTTATTGTTAATGAGTTAGCATGTGAAAGATATATGCAGAAAAAACTATGTCTTTTTTATTTTATTTTTAAATGTTTTTCCGCTTGTAGAGAATGAACGAAATGAAACGTGTGAGAATTTTGAACAATGTGTTAATTGCATGTATTTTGTGTAAAAGAAATTAAAAATTATTCATTTTCTGCTCCGCATAGACTCCTGTAAACCCGATTGTGTGAACAATTTTGAAAATCTGGTTTCAGCATGATTGTTAGCAGGTGAAAGAAAAACTGTAAATACTTTAACCTACAAACTAAAGAGTTTCAAATTGTACAGTAAAAAGGGCATGCATGGTAAACAATATATTCTGTTATTAAAAAATTTATTTTTTAAACTAAAGCCTACATTTGATATATTCCATCTTAGATTTTCCCCAGATCGCATTAGGGGCTATATGTATGACAAAACCAAATTCTCTAAATTCTGACTAACCATGTGGGTCTGTGTGTTTGCTGATCAGGTGGTTGTGGTGTTGAAGTGAAGTCAGTGTTCATCACTGAAGGAGATTCAGTCACTCTAGAATCTGCTCTAGCTGAAATCCAGAGCGACGATTTGATAATGTGGAGATTTGGAGCTAAAAAGGAAATTCTCTTAGCTACATACAGCAGAAAAGACAATAAGGCAGAGACTGTCTATGGTTCTGATGGGAGATTCAGAGACAGACTGCAGCTGGACAGTCAGACTGGATCTCTGATCATCACAAACAGCAGAATCTCAGACTCTGGACTTTATACAGTGACCAGCATCAACTCAGACATCCCACTCAACACATTCAACATCACTGTCTATGGTGAGTAGAGAATTAACTACTCAGCTTAAAACTAAGTTATCACTATAATGTTTAATTTTTAGCTATTGAATTGTAAACGTTGTGCGAAACATATTTGTATGTAATTTGATAATTATGTACCCTCTCCTCTGTTTTTTTTCTTTTTTTTTCTCTTCTTTGTTTTTTTCACTTATTTCATTCTTGTTAAGAAATGTAAAGTGATTGTATTGTATAACAAAACAACTGTAACTGTACATGCTGGTTCTTGTTAATAAAAAAAAAAAAAAAAAAAAGAATTGTAAACGTTAACATTTTACACCTAGAATAGCATTGTTAACTATTTTGTCTTGCTATGGCACATTATATTGTTAGCATTTTTATTATCTTAGAGACATAAATTGCATACTATTTTCATACTTCTTGTTTATAACACACAATATTAAAATATAAAATATCATAAAACTCTGTATACTCGTAACGTGTCATGTTTATTAATTTTCTCATTTAGCATTGTCTGCTTTCAAAACAAGTGCACTATTATTTCTATCAGATTGTTTTAAGTCATCTAAACGAATATATCTTTGTTTTTTCTCATTAGTGTTTATTTTCTGATGTTTTTCCAGTTTGTCTGCCCCTTCCTGACATCATCAGAGACTGTTCATCGTCAGAGCAGTATTGTTCAGTGGTGTGTTCAGTGGTGAATGTGAGCGCTGTGAGTCTCTCCTGGTACAAAGGAAACAGTGTATTGTCCAGCATCAGTGTGTCTGATCTCAGCATCAGTCTCTCTCTACCTCTGGAAGTGGAATATCAAGATAACAACACCTACAGCTGTGTGATCAACAACCCCATCAGCAACCAGACCACACGACTGGACATCAACATACTCTGTCAGATTTGTCCAGGTACAAAATATACTTCTATCAATACACAAATTTAATATATTAACATTGGAAATCTTCTCTCTTATTAGGCTGCTGTGGTTTTACTGAAGCTGTGATTCGACTGGCCCTCTCTGCACTGGTGGGCGTAGCTACTGTTGCTGTACTAGTTTATGACATCTCATCCAGAAGATCTGACCAGAAGAGAGAACAAGAAATTAGAGAAATTTCTTGAAGTACTATGGACATTATATATTACAAATTATTATGCAGATAGAATTTATAGATGTCATTAATTAATTATTGACTAATTTTTTATAAGTTGCGTAGTGACATTAATGTTGCTGTATTGTGAGATTAATGTTTGCTTTTTTAAATATAGTTGTGTTGTGATCTTAATGCCATTGTGTTGTTAGATTAATGTTTGCCTTTTGAAATGTTGTTGTGTTATGCACTACTGATGAATATTAAATCATAGTCTTACAATTTTAAATCTGCTTTGGGTTTTTTTTTTATTAACACTGAGCTTTCAATATCATTAGTGTGTGTGTGTGTGTGTGTTACCCGCCTCAGGCTGAAGAGACCCGAACGTGTAAGTGAAATGTATAACTGCAGAGAAGTAAAGAAACAAATGAATACGAGCTCTGACGGTCTTTAATGAACTCTGAATTCTTTCTTCAAAATGAATTAAAAAACATTTTTTTACTAAATAAAACATAACTGTTTTTGGTTGTCACCATTGTAAACAATAAACTTGCAATAAAATATGTAACCGAATG